CTTTTCCTTTTCTTGGAACTCTCCCCTGCCTCGAATTGCCTCAAGGGGGCTTCATCCTCCACCATGGCTTTCCCTTTCCCTTTCGGGCTGGTTAGCGATAAGGCGGGCGTGGGTCTGGGCCTAAACAGCTTTAACCTAGCGCCCGCCACTGGGTCCTTCCATTTAGACCCGTCTAACTCTGCTATCATATATGCACCCCAGTCGAGTGCCTCAACCACTCTGTAAGGTCCCATCCATCTGTTGGCGAGTTTTCCGGTCCAGGTTCTCTCCAGTGCTGCGTCGTAGAGAAGGACCATATCTCCTACGCTCACCCTCTCTTTCCTGACCCGCACGCTTTTATCCCATCTCTCTTTACCTTTGTCCCTCTCCACTGCCAGACGATCTGCCTCTGTCATAAGGTTGTCTTCCAGCCCGTAGGCTATCTGTCTCGTTCGGGCAGCTATGAGTTCCTCTCTGGACATCTCCTCCGCCCAGTCGACGGTTGTCCAACTGTCAACGTGATACTCTATGGGGAGTCGACAATGCCGCCCAAACCACAAGGTGTATGGTGGGTATCCTGTACTAGCCCGGACCGTGACGTTGTCCGCCCATATTGCGTATCGAAAATATCGTGGCCAATCACTGTCCTTTCCCTTGCACCACTTGGACAGTGACACTATCAGAGTCTGGTGTCCCCTCTCTACTGGGGAGTTCGACTGTGGGTGATAGGCGGTGGCTATCGAAACTCTCGCACCGACTCTCCTAAACACGCTCTGGACCTCGTCGGCTAGGAATTCCGCCCCTCTGTCCATCACTATCTTGCTGACATTCCATACCTAGATAAGTACTCTAGGACAAAGTTATTTACTTCCTTTGTTGCCTTACTCCTGATAGGTCTACCGTCCACGAACCCAGTGAAATCGTCTCGTATGTTCACGATGTAGTTCATATTGCCTACCCCTCTCGACATTTTCACTAGATCGATGTGTACATTCTCTCCTGGTCGGGTTGGATAGGATGGATGAAGTGGCTCTTTGTATTTCACAAGAGCTCTCTTTTGACACTCTTCGCAGAACCTACAATACTTCTCGACGTCCTTATACTGTCCTTCTCACCAGTACAACCTGCGTACCTTTTCGTAGGTTCCTTTGACTCCCCTGTATCCTCCGACTACCCCGTCGTGAAGCTCCGCAACTATTGTCTGTCTCTCCTCAGGGTCACAGACTACTCGTAAGGGCATTCCCGACCCTTCTGGCCTTCGGAAAAGGTGGCCCACTCTAAGGCAGTACTGGGCTGCTTGCCTCCGGATATCTGAATCTTGACTCTCTCCTCCCGTCAGGTGTAGTCCGATCATTCGGTACTTGCCCTCCTAAAGATTAACTAGAAATCTCTCGGCGCGCCTCGGCTCTGCCATTGTCAGAGCCCCAGCTACTATCGGACGCTCGAGAGGGATGCGTGAAAGTCCATCTGCCACAGCATTTTTCATACCAGATACTCTTTCGACCGTGTAATCGTATAGCCGAATCCGTATTAACCATCGGGCGATGGTCGGGTCCGTCAGACTAAAGTCCTTCTGGAGGACAGAGGCAACTGCGGTGGGGTCTACTCTCAAGATGAACCGTCGCCCATAGATATAGTGTCTGAACGTGTCTAGACACCGGAGAACAGCTAACA